CCAATGTTTTGACCCATACTTAGCTTCTTTTGGGTGAGATCGTGCAATAAAAAATAAAGGAAGTGTAGGGAGCGCATTCACGCGAGATCTGAGCTCTTGCCGACATCTGATGACACTGGAGTGTGATCTCCAGCGAAAACTTTGTGTAAAATTGTCAACATATTGCTTGCTTTTCAACGTAACCGCTTTGCTCAAAAACTCAATCAATTAGCACATTTTCCCCATGTGACAACTCGATTTGTCTGGCTCTGTCGGGTGGTGGAGGGTTATCACTCTGATTGACTTCCTACTTGCATGATCTAACACCTAAAATAAACCAATTATGTATTTGAGTTTCAGTTTGAAGGTCTCCATTGCAAATTAGGATTTTATGTTCAAAGAGCTCTCTCCTTGTTCTAAATGAAGGTCACTGATCGCAGATTCCACAGACAAGCCTGCTTGTTATTCCTGAATTGCGAGACAAAGTTAAACGAATGGAGGGGAGTCAGTGTTAGTAAACAAATGGTTAGACACAGGAAACAAACTAAACGTTCATTCATAATGCATGGTAATTATGAACACAAAAACTACAATCGCATTATTGGAACATGAATTAATGGGCTACTCTCATCGCTTTTATCCATAAACAGAAACACAACTGAATGAACAGAATGTACTTATTTAATTTCAGTCCCGCAAACTGCCATTATAAACAACATAAATTGCTTCCACGCAAATCAATTTGAGATGCTTTTATGCCGTGCTCAAGACAAACGCTCAGGTTCCAACGTCAATCTCGAAGGCCTCCAATCAGAATGTAAAAACAAAAACATGTTACAAGATTATGAACTTACGACTCAAGATAATCCAAACACCAAATCTATACCTTTTGCAAAGCATCAAGTCTGCATTAACCACACATACTTGTGGCAAAACATGTAAACAAACATACTCTGATAAGGTAAGCATTGTCTTTGAAACTGATTGTCCTACACCAGAGACAGCAGCCTTCTTTATGGCCTTGTCTCCCCACCAGTGTTAGTAGACCAGAGAACGCCAAAAGGCGAACAGTACATGAACAATGCAACTATCAAAACATTTATAGCTCGGGTTGAGCAGTTATATCCACGTGACTTTTTGCCAGTATCTAAAATTATGAAAAATAATAGGTTTTACCCTTTCTGGCAATAAAACAGGTGCTTTGCCACAAGTACGTGCGGTTAATGCAGACGTTATGCCTTGCAAAAAGTATCTGTTTGGTGTGTGAACACTTTAACACCTCCTCTGTTTGATTCCAAGAAAGGCTAAAATCTATTCAAATTTTTCAGAATTTTTAATACTGGCAGAGGTATTATAGATATTCTTTGGTTCTTTCGGTAAAATCACGTAGGTATAAAATAAAATAAATCACGACGTTTCGAGCGCAACACACATGTCCATCATGAGGTGGGAAAGCATGGTCTGCTGCTGAGGCAGACTGTTTTAAAAGGTTTGAAATGGGTGTAGCTCAAGGGTTAAAGAGAAGTGGCCGGGGCGCTTGTGTTGCGCCCGAAACGTCGTGATTTATTTCATTTTATACCTACGTGACGTTACCGAAAGAACCAAAGAGTATGGATCCCTGCAGTCACAAAAGCTTCAAATCAAGATTGGTACCATAGATTTCAAGATAATCCACCTGGGGCGGTGTTGCGGTTCGAGACGATGGTCGTCTCTGCCCCATCACGACATGAGCTTCACTTTGCTGGAAATTAACAAAGTGGTCGTCCCACTGTGGCAATGCATCATTTTTGCTTGCGTCTCGGGGCTGTCAATGAGGAGAAAGGCTTTCTCACTGTTAAAATTAACAGGGAAATAAAAATAGTATATTTTTTTCCATCTCCCACCTACACCCACTCCCCTCCCATCAATTCAAGGTCCTATGTTGAATACAGCGACGGCCTTCATGGTGCATTCAAAAGAAAAACGGGAAAAACCTTGAATGAGCACTGGCAGTGATTTTATGTTTGGTTTAGATGGAACATTTGCTACGTAGGCTGCAATCACTGCACACATTTTATCTATGATTGTTAATGACAATGTCAGAGGGCCCTTAAAGTCCACTTTACACTAGATGGTACGCTTTGATAATTCCCGAAGGCGCGCGTTTGCAATGCCCCAGAGAAACTGCTCTGGGAATCGAATCTTTGACTGTAAATGCTTGCTCAGTAGTGAAAGGGATCATGAATCTCAATGTTTATATTGCTTTCTAAGCACTGCTGAAACCGGTACAGCCTTTAAACCATGTGCCACCACTGCTTGGGATTAAGCCACTCAAGCATGCAGGCTCATACACCTGAGAGGACACACTGTGCAGGCGCACACGCACGCACACACACACACGGAGATCTTGCTGAGCCGAACAGAGAGTTGGTGGCATTGCTATTATGAAGCGTGTGTTTAGGTTGGCACAGTATCCGCGGAGTGGGGCCAGCGTCATGTATTCCCACCAGTCTGTCTTCTAACTGCTGAAGCAAAAACATTGGCTAAGGTGCTAATTGTAGGCTGAATGAACCTATGGAAAAGCCCAAGCCATGTTCATAAAGCAAAGTTTAGAGTAAAATTTAGACTTAAAACTTTCGTGACTGCAGGAATTCATATTCTTACTTCTTTCGGTAAAGTTACATAGATAGAAATCAAAAAGCAAAATTAAAAGCAAAAAATCCACGACATTTCAATCACAATACTGAAGAAGGCTTGTGTTGCGATCGAAACGTCGTGGGTTTTTTGCTTTTAATTTAGATTTTTTTTTCTATCTACGTAACTTAACTGAAATAACCAAAAATATAAAAAGTTTAGTGTATTTGGCTGCTACAAATTTCCACATGGATAAGCCACTTTGTTGAGTTATCATTTGAGGCCAGGTTGCTTCTGAAAAATAGCTATATAGCTCAGTGGGCCTTATCTGGTCAGATAAAAAACTAGTAGTCGTAATTTCTACTGGTGTTGTACATCATGGTCATGAACTGAGGCTGGGTCCACTCCACAACAACCATTGTATGCACAACAAAGATAAAGATCCCCAGCATAGCCTTTGAACAGACTGATAGGGCAAGTGCTGCAAGCGAACGCCGATTAAGGCCGGCACGGGACACGAGAGGGTGGGTGGCCAGCACCACGCTCGGTCAAATTGTCTCCCCAAAGCAGATGATTACAACACCACGCCAGGTATTCATTTAAAGCTGCGTCGACCTCGGGAAGGCCCAGGACCAGGTCAAATATTCCTCACCAATATTCTTGGGTCTTTCGGTAAAGTCACGTAGATAGATTCAAAGAAAATAACAAAACATAATAAAACCTACGTTTCGATCGCAACGCAAGCGGTCGAAACGTCGTAGTTTAAATATCCTGGGCGCTTGCGCCAACTGTTGGATATACAAGGAAGAAGAGCGGCTGGCGAGCGCCGATCACGGCAGCTCAAAGCGGAACGCAGTCACTTTCATAAACCTGGGGAAGGGGATAGGATGGGGGGTTGGAGGGGGATTGCAGCTGACCCCCTCCTCCCTCCCCTCGAGGGAGAGAGAGGCGATACAATTTTAAAACGTGCCACTGACCTGGAGCTCCTGCTTTCACTTGGAGCCATCAACTACTCATTTATTTAGCAACGCGCGCTCGCCGGCAAAGACGTCGTGCTGCCGAGCGGTGGCTGATGCTTTTTGAATGAATTACGATGGGGGTGTGGGATTGCATGTGGTCTCCGCAAACGCAGCGGCATGCGATGTCTTCAGGCATGTCAGGGGAATGAAGAAAAACTAAAATCGTGACTGTGTTGGCAGTGGTGCACAAACACAAATAACAACTCACTGCTCTAAAAGGAAACAAAAACGTGACTGGTGACGTTTCGGGCAACAGACCTTGTTCATCACAGAGATAAGCAGACATGATGTTACTAATATGAAGGGACATTACCAAAAACGTTGGCATATTGCATTTCTTTTTTTACTGTCTGTTCTCCTATAACGCGGTAGTTCTGTTCCTGAAGAACATAGTGTTATGAAAAAAGTGCGTTATCATAAACATATAATCTAGGGAAAAGCACAATCCGTGATTCTATTCTATTTCGGATTCATATAGTGACCTTTCCAGGGTGCTTTACAATGCAATCGTTAACATCTAGAATCATCCAGCAGCATCCCAGTGCCTCTTGTGTGATGCTAGGCCGAGGCAGCCGGACAGCCGCTTAATCCTACTCGCGCGACGTAGTCACGCTCACTCAACCACGTTATATTAAATTCGCATCCCCGCTTGAAAAAATGTGTTCCCCAATACATTAATCACATTACATCCAATTCGCGTTATGAAAACATGAGGCGTTAAAGGGCAACAGACTCTTTTGACGAATGAAGGGGGAATGAAAATCTGCCACATCAATGCAAATGGTGCAGCACTCTCGGTGCAAGTCGGCACGTCATGAATATAAAATAACATTTATTTTTTAAATATACACAAAAATCTACCAATCAAACAATGTTTTCAGTCCTGCTCAGCTCTGGATGGTCAATGCCCAGACCTTTATGTTAAATGTATTCTCAAAGGAAAAATCAATCTGTCAAATATTTCAACAAGCATTTTTTTCTCTGTTGGTGGTTCTAGGCTAATCTGGCAATTCCACATTCTTATGGCAGTCACTAATCTATACAAAGAGCATTTATTTTCCAGTAATTTCATCAAACTGATTTAACCCCCACCCAAATTTTGAAATCATCTTATTATAAAACCGAGCTTCTCATTATTCAATTGGGACTATACATAGCAATCATCGCCGCAGACTTATACCGCAGATCAATCATCCTGGCCTCTTGAGCCCTTACCTGATTAAACAAAATAAACTTGAAGTTGATTCCAGGCACCTCCTCTCAGTGCCACCCAGAGCGAGTTAGGGATTAAACGTGGTATGCATGAGAGTTGATCATTATGAACGCAGCAGACGATTACTGCTAATCTGTGCACGGTGCATGTGTGTTCAGGGAGCACAAATAACTTACTGGTGCTGTCGGATTTGCTGTATTGAAAACCTCTTGACAGGGTCGTACTCCAGCAACCCTGAAAGACAGGCACAGCAAGAGCAGTCAACGTGCTGCACACAGGGAGTACGAGCGTCGTCAGTGTTGGGTTATTTCCGATTACCAAGGTGAAACTACTCCACGAACTACTCCAGTAGCATGTGGCCAAACAATCCCAACAAGCGGGACTGTCCTGAACACGAGCTGTGAAGACTCAGTGCGGTAAACCAATTTGTCATTGTAACAAGAGGTCACAATCCCCCTCCAACCCCCCATCCTATCCCCTTCCCCACCCTCCTTCCATTTTATATCAGTTATCTTCTCCCTTATTTCCACCCTGCCCACCCCATATAAACTTTCACTTCCATGCTCGAGGCTCCCCACCTGGGTGGGGCAGTGAGCCCCAATCCGGCCTCTCTTCACCAAACCCTGCCGCACCCGATTTCGGGCCTTTTGCTGGCGGGATTTATGCCTCCCACTCCTCAACCCCTTCTTGTTATGCGATTGGAGCTTTGTAACAGGCGGGCTCACGTTACGTTGAAATAACAACTAAATAAAACAAGAGGTCACAAGATAATCGCGAATAATGCCAACTGATGCCATCACCCCAATCCATCGCTCCCTTTTGTCCATCTGCAAGACCCTGCGGCTGTATATGCCCAACATTCAAGTGGAAACTGCGGTATATACTACCATTTTTTACAAATTCAAATTGGAATATTTATCCAAAACGAGTGTGTGCTTGTTTTTAGCTATGTGAGGAAACCGTAAAACCCAGAGGAAACCCCATGCAGAGCAGGGGAGAACATACAAACGTCACAAAGGTGCCCGAGTCAGGAATCGAATCCAAGCGCCTATTCCTATGACGCTCAAGTGTTACCACTGTGCCGTCTTGCCACCCAAATGATAATTATATCCAAATTACATGAATAACAGCTGAGCGCTAAGATTTTATTCCTCTCAAGAGCTTCCCATATACTACCTCCTCATTTGTCCCAAGAACATTCAGCATTTCTTGCCACAACCTTTAAACTCCAGACACACCCAGAGTAAATGGATCAATGTAGGTCTGTATAATTCGTCTTCATGGCAATGGAAAAAAAAATCCGATTGAGATTTATTTTTCCATGAAAGTTAAATTTATGTTATACTGTCACCAGTGACCCAAATGAGATCATCAATTTGCTACACTTGGGAGCCTGCTTTAGTTGCTCATTGGCTTTGTCGCATGCCGGTCTGGGCCTGTGCGCAGGGCTGAGCTTCTGCGCCGGCCTGAGCCTGCGGACCGACCTGAGGTTGCGTGCAAGACTGCACACAACGGCCTGGTCACACAACGGCCTGGTCACACAACGGCCTGGTCACACAACGGCCTGGTCACACAACGGCCTGGTCACGCACCGGCCTGGTAACGCACCGGCCTGGTCACACAACGGCCTGGTCACACAACGGCCTGGTCACACAACGGCCTGGTCACACAACGGCCTGGTCACACAACGGCCTGGTTACGCACCGGCCTGGTCACGCAACGGCCTGGTCACACACCAGCCTGGTCACGCACCGGCCTGGTCACGCACCGGCCTGGTCACGCACCGGCCTGGTCACGCACCGGCCTGGTCACACAACGGCCTGGTCACACAATGGCCTGGTCACACAACGGCCTGGTCACACAACGGCCTGGTCACGCAACGGCCTGGTCACACACCGGCCTGGTCAAGCACCGGCCTGGTCACACAACGGCCTGGTCACACAACGGCCTGGTCACGCAACGGCCTGGTCACGCACCGGCCTGGTCACGCACCGGCCTGGTCACACAACGGCCTGGTCACACATTGGCCTGGTCACGCAACGGCCTGGTCACGCACCGGCCTGGACACACAACGGCCTGGACACACAACGGCCTGGTCACGCACCGGCCTGGTCACACACCGGCCTGGTCACACAACGACCTGGTCACACAACGGCCTGGTCACACAACGCCTGGTCACACAATGGCCTGGTCAAGCACCGGCCTGGTTACACAACGGCCTGGTCACACAATGGCCTGGTCACACAATGGCCTGGTCACACAATGGCCTGGTCACACAATGGCCTGGTCACACAACGGCCTGGTCACACAATGGCCTGGTCAAGCACCGGCCTGGTTACACAACGGCCTGGTCACACAATGGCCTGGTCACACAATGGCCTGGTCAAGCACCGGCCTGGTCACACAACGGCCTGGTCACACAACGGCCTGGTCACACAACGGCCTGGTCACACAATGGCCTGAGCCTATGGCGCAGCTCTGGCCATGTGCCGGCCTGGTCGCACACTGCTTTGGATTCCAGGAACTCAGCAGTGCTGGCTCAGTGCCAAAGCAAATGCATTACGAACTCCCTAAGCCACCCAGGCAAACGATTCTCTCCTCTGCTGTCTCTGACTGCCCGTTCCAGGGCTTTCTGGAAGCATCATTATTTATTTATTTATAGACTACAACTGCACTTAGGGACTGGCACCTGAGGCATTTATTTCTATAATTTAAATGCCAAAACCTGTGCTTTAGTGATCACATTTCCATTATCCCAGAAGTCCGTATGACAAAGATTACCTTTTACTTTGAAGTGTATAAAGTAAAGAATATGCCGAACACCTTTCATAAATCATTTTTATCAACAGCCCTTCATCTTGATATACTCATAACATCATAACATTAATTGAATATTTTTTTTTACAAACTGCTTTTGTATGCACGAACAAAAGCCTACGAATGTTTTTTATCATGTAGGGCACCCACGTTTTTGTTTGAGATAAACATGTTTTATAAACTTTCAATCCATCAAGCTAAATATTCATTTTCAAAGAGCTTAAAAGAACGCGGTTCATCAGTTACAGTCTCAAGTTTTCCAAAGTGGACGGCGATGACTAATGATGCTTTAAAAAGCCATCATCCCTTCAGCCAAGCTTTAAAGACACAAATTTATGCTTACCAAAAATACACACAAGCGTGTGTCAGTATAGACAGGCCTACGTTGTTAGCCCTCCTGCTAGGCTCTCTGTGGCCTAAAGTAAGATGCAACCATAAAAAAACTACCGCCTGCGAAATTGCTTTTTCACCTCTGATTAGCACGGTTGGCGATGTATGGTGCAAAAGAAGTTCAGCATACATATATTATGATAGAACCAATAAATCTGACTCATTATTATTTTCTGGGTTAGGCCACAATGATCAGGCCAAATTTGTGCCATTAAGACCCTCCACCACCCAAAATAACCAGACAAATGAAATCGTCACTCATCTTAGCATGAACAATGCGCCAGTTATTGTTGTGTCAGCTCATCGGTAAATTGATCAAATCTCACAGCCAACTTTAGCAATTAGATGCGACGTTTCACTTGAAACCAAGCCAAGTACCTTCAAAACAAGATCAGGAAATCCAGGAAGTCAAAATAACTTCCTGAATATTATTCTTACATTGTAAATCTTGTCCTGATTATGCTTGATGTAGTTACAAGAGAGGCATGATATCTAACTTCCAAATTATATTCAGAGAATTGTCCTTTAACTTACCGGTGAGCGAGCTCAAATCATACTTTGGCTGTGTTTTGGGCGGTGGAAGGTCTTAACGACATAAATTTGACACAACCCAAAAATCAACTATCGATCACAATAATGTGAAAACCGACGTGTTAAACCTGACTCCGATTCATCTCTTAGATCTCAGCCCTGAGTGATACAATGGAGTGATACCATTCCTGGTTTCAACTTCCCCCTCCTTGTGCCGGGGCTCCATCGACTAAACCTGCAGCAGCTCACAGCATGCACCGCACGTCGTAACCAAGCTCAGGATGCTGGGCTCACACCTGGCGAATGAAGGCTCGGCTGTGACGTCACAAGAGGGCCCAATGGCAGTGTGGGGCAAAGTGATTTAGATGTGACTTTCAATTCTTCCGAATTTTTATCGAAGCTTCAAACACGCACCAGCGAGTCTGCGACCACAATTATCCAAAATTTGTACTTAAAACTTTTGTGACTGCAGGAATTCACATTCGATGGTTCTTTCGGTAAAGTCACATAGATAGAAAAATAATAATAAAGTGATTAAAAATATCACGACGTTTCGATCTCAACACAAGCGGTCGTCATCAGCAACAGGGAGGATAGCCTCCGAAGGCAAGCTGTTTATAAAGGTTTAGAGATGGGCTGGGCAGCTAATGTTAATGTAGTAGGTCTACACCATTCTACGTGACTTTACCGAAAGAACCATTAATACATTGTCCAAAATGTCGCAAATCATATGTATATATTTTTTTTAAGGCTACAGTGTTATTGACGAAAGTGTTGCATTATTGTGTTTATTGTACTTGTGCACCACTGCCAGCGCAGCAGCATCACAAAATAATGAGTTGTATTTCAAATGTTGGTGGTTCTGGGCAGTAGTCCATAAGCTTTCCATTTTCCACTAAGATTATCGCCCTGGGTCTTGTGGTTGTGCAGGCCATCGGGAGTGCCGAGAATTAAACGCAAAACTAAAGAAATAAATCCGACACTTTACCTCCCTGCAGGAGAAATCCAAACAGGGTGCATGGGGTGCTGATGCCTAGAATAACCAAAATTAGGAAACAAACCCCGGAGCTGTTCAAGGTTCATTTGAAAGCACTTTCATTCAAAGAACCCCTGCTGCAATGCCGCAGTAGTGACGTGCGAGCGAGGGTTTTTTTGTGTGTGAAGAGGCGTTTTGTCCCATTAAGCGATGACGGTAATGGGTGTGGTGAAGCACACGCGGCACACGTGGGAAAGGGCAAAAAAAGGCAGCATCGTCTCGTGCGCAACCGCCAGGATCTGCAGCCGCCAGTGTCCGCTGTCTGCTGAGCGCTCGCCGCGTTCTGCCAGCAACCCCGCAGCGTTTGCATCAACACAGGGGTTCATTTATTTCTTAATTGCGACATCATTATTATTATTTGTCACCAACGGCAGGTACATTCACCCTATTCCATTTGCACCGCAATTCGAGGGGGAATTAAATTTTAATTCTGAATGCTGTGTCGGCGCAGAACAGCCTTGCAAGCCAGCCAATAAAAACAGAAAAACTATGAAGCCAGGAAAAGGAATCCTTTATGGTTGCCATGACATTAATTTTCACAATACAATATAAATTTTCATGACGTGACAATCATCAAGATATGTTACCAATAATTTAGTAATTGGTAACTGGGGCTTAACAGTGGCAATATGTTAACTACCTCGCCTGGTATACAGGAGGTCGTGGGTTCAATCCCGACCCTGATGCCTGTATATTTGGAGTTTGCGTGTCCTCCCCGTGGTCGTGTGAATTTTTTTGCAGGGCGTCCGGTTTTTCCCTCCACATTTATAACAGACATTTAGTGTATTTGGCTTCTGAAAACGAGCTATATAACTCAGTTGGCCTTACCTAGTTTAGTTTGGCAATGAATTTTGGCATTATAGTTGTATTGTTTTGTTCTATGCTGTACTGACAATAAAAGTAGATAATATTTTCAAGTTCTGCTATTGCTGAACATAAGCCTGCATATATAAATCATCTCAACCATCCCATAAATCACGTGACTCCTGTGTGGTCACCCTCACTCTGAATCCCTGCCCCCTCTTCCCGCCGCCCCGTGGGAACAGACGCCACTCCACGCAGCTCACTTCTCACTCCTCCAATCTCTATTCCTCTCTTCCCTCCTCTTTCATCATCACTCGTTCATCCCCAACATCAACATATCATTGACATAACTGCTCTTCCCGTGGTGTGCCAAGGCTAAAAAGTAGTATTTTAATAATTGCAGGTTTACAACGGAGAATGCATATAAATAAGGTTTCGTATTTTGGTATAACTTGTTTATCTGCGTCCATGCCACTGGCTACTGGTCACCTATTACATTTTGACATTAACAATTCCCATGAGGGCCGAGGAATGTGATGTAGATCGTTTTAGTGCCCACCCCTGCCACCTTACTTCCAGCACCCACTTCCCATGAGCCTCACAACTTATTAGCAAAGCCGATTTTTAGGGTAGAGGAAAAAAACAGAAGTTGTTACTCCCTCGCTCCATGAACGAGGAACCACATGCAGCAACATGCAGCAGAGGAGGGGAAGAGTGAGGTCAGACACCGATAAGGATCAGCGCAGATCCTAAAAACACAAGTGTCATTAACAATGGAAACAGTGATGAAGGCATGAAACGAACATGCCCTATTCTCAACTTGATGCACCCTGATACAACTCTGCTCATGATTAGAGGAATAACCTGACGAGCATACCGATGGAAAGGGACTGCATATTCACCATTGTAATGTATGTGACTAAATTAACCCCCCTGCGGTCTTCGCACCTGATGGGTTCACGGTGATGACATCACCTTACTTGATTTCAGACCGTAAAAACAGGAAGACTTCTTCACAATTCTGGCCAAGTGCCTAATGAAACTGGTTGTAATCACCAGCAAAATGTCGTACAGTAGAACCCCTCTCCACTACGGTAATAGGTTCCGCGAAATTGGTCGTTATGTGATTTGGTCATTCAGGAAGTATAGGAAATACATGTCAAAGGCCTAATTCGTTACGAAAGCATCCCAAGTTACCTTGTTTCACCCAAAAAAGTACTTTATAATATTTAAACAACGGATATCAATACATAAAGATACTAACAATATTATAAACACATAATATTAAAAAGAAACGTGGTTAATCAATGCGTTAATTAATATTTACTGTACCTAGAACAACAGCCCGTCTTTAACAGGGGAATGGTCGCTAATTGAACACATTGGGCTCTATTGAGGCTGTCGTTAATCGATTCGTCATTAACAGGGGTCGTCGTTAAGAAGAGTTCTATTGTAATCTAATTGTAAATGTGGTAGGTTTACTCTTCAACACACCGGTGTGCTAAAGTAGTAACTAATTGGCACGTTTTGTTTACGTGGCACATCTTACGCATTGGCCGTGTCCAGTGGTGGCGGCACAAAACATAATTTTTTCTCCGTCCATGTCAACTGGTCACTTAGCTAATCTTAACATAGAACCAGCCCCAAAATTATCTCTGCATCATGTTGCGTGGCCCTAACGGGATTGCTAATTGTTAAGATTAACTAAGAGACCAATAGGGCGGCAGCATGATGCAGAAAAATGAGGATGCAGCCAGCCACACAAGCAGAATTAGATTATTAAATTAACCACGCAAATGACGACAGCGGCGGCTCAAAAACTGCAATGAACCAGCACGGTGGGGAGTGCATTTACTGCAAGGATCAGCCATCCTACGGTAACTTATAACTTGATCAATCAGATGAACCGTCATTAAGCCTAGCCCGTGTCTCGATGGCTCTGAAAGCGAGGTGACGTGACCACTGTTTCAGAGCGCAGAGCGGCGCTCGTGCAGTTGCTCTCACGCCAGCTCCACACCCGAGCTACCGGTTGTGCAACCAAGTTGCTCTCAAAATCACACAACTTAAATCATCGTCTGCAACTGCTTTGTCCACATCTGGGCGAGTAGTTAGGCCACAATAACATGTCTGGCCATGCACTTTAAAGCATAGCCCATCTCCTGATTAGCTCCACCTCCCCACCCACATTAGGATTGTAATGACCAATGTGTTCAAAAACGTGCAGCACGCAATGTGATACGTCGCTGCAAATCGCTGAGCGGATCGCCGCTTTAAATCCAAGTCTATTTCGACTGTGAGCAGCAACCGGTTGCTCGACTGCTCCCCGCAACCGGTTGCATGAAAGTCGACACATACGCGATTCAGTTGCAAGCAACTGAATTTTCTTAACTCAGCGGTCAGGTGTGCAGTAGCGTCTGGATATGCGCGTTGCTGAGTGTGCACACTCCTGGTGCAAGCAAGGGCGTGCGTGTGTGTTATCGTTATTTACAAGTAGATGCACCATCTCACCTTTCAGAAGCTCTGTTAATAAAGTGCCGCACTCCTCGGGGACTGTGTACTCGCCCTTGCCGATGTTCTCAAAGAGCTTGTAGATGTTGTCCCCTTCAAAGGGATATACCCCCGTCGTTATGTTATACCTGGAAGAGAGCGCCCACCACACGGGACAAGAGTGGACACGGGGGGTCACATTTACACCGCACACAAACGGCATGTGCAACGCCCACAAGCGATGCCGAGCTTCCAGACCCAGTGACACGCGCTGCTTCAGCAACCTACCTTGTTCGGTAACATTGCTTTATGCAAACAAAATAGTTGTCATCAGAGGTGATTGAAAATGGCCAAGATCTAGCAGGAGTAATGGCACAGCAAAAGATGAAGGTTCAGTTAAGACGTACTTTAAAAAAAGGATGGTCACATCTTAAGGCAATAGGTTAACTTTGACATGAAAGTCAAACCCCAACAGGAATCAAACAGAAACTCGGTGAAACGCAGCAGAGTGCAGACCTTGCTGCTTGCACAATGAGCGCACAATGTTCGTGCGTACATGAATGCCAGCTGCAGCCCAGCACATGATTTTCATAGTAACTCTGAAATGCATGAACATTCTTCACATTTTTCACACGCAGTTCCACCTGCCCACGCTATGGTGCTATGAAGGCTTTGCAAAGAGATCTCAGCCGTGGGGTGGGGGGGTGAGGGGGAAGGGAGAGGAGGCTGCTTCACAGCAGGAGCACCAGGTGCGTCAGTGAAATTCCGCAAATAGCCGGCAACGCAAGCACCAGTGAGTCACTGCACACATGTCACACGTACACCACATCTCGGACATCATCTAGCAACAATAATTCCAGCGCCAAGGTGGGAGGGTGGTGGTAGCAAAACACCGGGAAACGAACTGGCTGCATCTGCAGTCAGAATCACATTTCCCATGCAGCGGGATCGAGTTTTACTTGCTTCCCTGCCACTTTCCATATCTTCATTGCTCAAGAAGGCAATGAGCTCTTGTTTAGACTGTATGCCCAATTATACTGTCACGGATTGCGCATCTCAATGAAGTGGCCTTTCGCTGTGGTGGTCAGATAATGAACAGGAGGTACTTCTCTTCCAGTCTCTGTGGATGTTAGTGTCATCTCGGAGGTCACCTGTCTCTGGTAATACTAGAATTACCCAGGGTGCCACTAACCGGTCAAGGGTGTCTTTGGGCTGCTCAACGCTCATCTGTTTTGGGAGATTTACATTCGTGATCCCACGACCATAGGCTTAGAGCTCCTGTAGCCACCAACTTTAATCTCTTACCCATGACAGTGCCCATCTCCTACGATAAGGATCTTTCATGTGGGGGATGCTACAGATTTCATCGGTCATCCACTTGGAAGTTTGGAAGACAACGTGGCAACAAAGCATTGTGGACTTGATAAGTAAGAGCAGGTTGTGATGGCTGATGCAAATGTGCAGTATGTAAGAGGGCATGTTACCGAGGCTGGCAAAGGCATGGCACCCAAAAGGCATTGGGGTGGCCACCCAGGAGATAGCGACCAAAGAGAAGCCCTCAAACCAGGTGGTGCGATACTATAAACACATGCGGCGAAGGTCAGGCACATACTGTGCAGCAGCTGAGGGATCTGGTGGATAGAAGAAAGCAATGGCAAGGTGTGGTGGCACTAACAGCATTGGCTCCGATCCATATTTGTTTCTGGGTTTGGCCACGTGATAGTTTTATTTCAACATTCTCATCTTTAGCCCTCACCCTCCGACACGGTTGTCATGTTCACACTATTATTATTTACACATGGCCAATGTGCCCATCAGATTCTGAGCGATAATCCTCCTCACCGGTGGCTTGAGACTTCTCAAGACTGAGTTCAACATCAACGTGGGACAGCGATGCTTCTCTCCAACTGCTTTGAGCTAAATCAGGTGGTGAACTCGGGAATTGAGTGCTTTGAAGGCACTGGTTGAGGAGCTTTCTTGGTCAGAATTTGATTAACATATTGGCATGTATACATAATATCGTTGTATAAAAGTGATAATCTAGTCAGGTGTAGGAGGATTAATGACAAGACATTTCGCATAAAACTACGATGTGACCTCACCCAAAAACAAATATGGATCATTGTATTGGCTTCAGAAACCTACGTTTCAAAGAAGTGGTTATGACATCCTCTTGATTTCATAAAAAGGGTTATCTGTACAGGACTACCCTGCCAAGACGTTAAAATATAACATCTTGGAATGCCGCCAGTTGGGAGGGCGTCTTATCACGATGCTATGAAAGTAAATTTGGAGTGAATGCAACACACTTATCTTAGCTAACACTATAAGCTCTCTAAAATGTGGTTCATAACAGGTCAACCATATGATAGAACATCATTTAGAAAAGCTATCCCTTCAGCCATAATTAGGATTAGATCGAGATGCAATACACACAGTTATGATATCAGTTGGACTTAAACGGCCACGATGACAATTTCCATTATCAAATACATTTAAGGGATGGAGTTAATCTCCATATATATAAAAGGCAAAGTTGTGAATATGTGTGTCTGTTCAAAATGTTTAGCGTACTTCCTGACATGCAAAAAACTTGAAATTCGCCTATTTTGCACGGCAAGTGAGCTGTGACGTAAAATATGTCATGTGACCCGCGCATTTGGAAGCGTAACGCATTGTAGTGTAGTGGTCAGCGCGCTGCGCTACGAACCCGGCCACCCGAGTTCGATTCCCGCTCGCGGCCACCACCTGTGACGATTATTTGAACTGGTCCTGGGCCTCTCCTAGGTCGACTCAGCCTCAAATGAGTAACTGGTGTGGTGTGTGAACATCGCCACTGGGGAGACAAAGGCGGCCAGGCGTGGTGAATCCAAGTCCCGGGCGAAACCGGGTAATAAAGTTAGTACAAAATAAAACGACGAATTTACTCAAATCTCGTCTTGCTGCAAGACAAGCCAAGTAAAAATGTTCATCATTTGGAGTAAGAATTAACTAAAAACTACAACTAATCAGGATGACTTCAGTGAAAGGCAGAATCCCACCCATCTCCATCAGTGGCCCCCAAGCCAGTAGTGTAAATTCCACATTCTCATGACAGAGCCCAGTCTATTCATATAAAGACTTCTGCTGACTCCCAGTGGAGTGTAGACTGAGTTGACCCATGACTAGAATTTGAACTCGCATCCTTCCAAATGCGAGTCAACACAAGACCACCTAGCTCCACTAACTAAGTCGACATGGCTACAATTTAACTACAAGGCAAAAACAAAGCGAAGACCAAATTACGTATAATTTGAAGGCAATGGACCAAACAGAAAATTGACACCATTCGGTGCACTATTCCCTTTAAAGGTCTGATTTTACCGTGACGGGAAAGTGTGGCTTGAGAGTAACCAATAAAAGCCTGAGATTCACAAGTGGCAGGTAAGGCACACTGAGCTATGTCGCTCCTTTTCAGAAGTGAGCTGGCCACAAATGATAACTCAGCGAAGTGGCTTATCATATGTAAATGTATTGCAGCCACATACTCTGAAGGCGTGACGTTGATTCTCACTACGTCAGCAAAACGAAGACCCTCGTTGCAAATCTGGGCAGTTGTTCAAATAAATTTAAATCTCGGGCCAGATTAGCACGGGTGGCTACGTACGGTGCTAAAGAAGTTGAACGTACATAAATACATGCATACATACATGTGTAGTGACATATGACGTCACTACCATGTTGGGTCTGTACACACATGACGCCACTGCTATGTCGGGTCGGTACGAATGACGTCACTGCCGGGTCAGGCAGTGTGGAGGCTGTTGACGAGTGCTACGGGGGTCGTGTCAGGCCGTGGCACTCTGAGTGAACCCGACCGGACACGTGACCGGATCAAGGTGGGGGCCAGGGGCCCCAGGGGGACCTTGGGGGTCACGTGGACAAGGAGCAGAGCCTTCTCGAGGGTTCGAGAAGGTGGGCGTGGCCTGGGTGTGGCCGGCCAAGCCGAGGCGCATATAAGCGGGCTCCGCACGCTGCGCGGGGCTGTTCGTGTCCAGGATGAAGACGCCTCGTGAAGACTGCAGAGGGAAGCCTCAAGTCGTCGTGGCCAAGCAGAAGCCCTCCTGGCTTGGCCACGTTGAATAGTACCCGAGTGTTCCAGTGTTAGCGAGATTAGGACGGTGGTCACCACCTTATATATAATGTGTGTTACAGTTGTATTGCAGTTGTGTTAAATACATAGTGTTGCCTCCATACGAGTGTGTGCACCTCTGTCGAACCATTACACATACATACAAACATAAGACAGCACAAATCAGGCCACCCCCCCTTCACCAAAAATCACCGTATCCATTACGTTTCGCGTGAATTTGACTAACTATCTGCTTACGATAAGTTAAAGTTACAGGCTGTAGTCAGACATACCCCTTTGACATTCATCATGCCTACAACATGCCCTTTGAGGATATGGAAATTGCTGTTGATATATGTAATGGCAATGATGGCCTGTGTGGTCCTCATGGACTCTAGAAAAAAATATCACACAAGGGGTGTTTCACGAGTCAATGTTATTGGCTGTTAAAGCCCCGGCCGCGTGGAGTCCGGTTATTCTAGGGTGGCTCAGTCAGCCTGGCAGCGGGACCCAGAGCGGGTGGGGACAGGGTGTAGCAGCAGCACCAGCAGGGACAGAACGCGAGCCTGACGCTGCATTCCGCGCCAAACGTGAGCAGTGTCTGCTACGTCCAAACTGCAGCTGCCTAGGCCTCCTCCTGCGACAAATTAATCAGTTCTCTCTGGCAGAGCCGCCCCATCTCATTACTGGTGGATCCGTCGCATTACAGACCGTTCCAATCTGTACAGCTGATAAATATATACACACAAAAGATCCCCCATGTAGCCACAGAGACAATGGGAGACAGTATGAAGGCCAGCGTAGTGGACAAGGGGGAGGTGTGGTCAGCACCACGTCAGACCGTCTTCATCTCCCCAGTGCTGTTGTTTACACACTTGACCAGGTACTAATTTTAGGCTGAGTCGACATAACAGGCCTAGGACCATTTCAGATATTCACCGCTGATGTTGTCTGTGAGCGTGAATCGAACTAAGGGAACTGGGCTGGCAGAAGGTCAGAATAGACCCAGGTGCCATGGGTTGGCTGAGATGAATGGTAGACGTACCAACTGTGCTCCCCGCTGTGCCAACTCTTTACGCTTTAGCTGCCTGGCGCTCCATTTGCCATGTGCATCGCTCCTCTGCCCTCCACTGTCGTTGGAGGGCGACTGCCTCCAACTCCCCCGCAGCATTCTTCAAGAACCTCCTCCACAAGAGGCGGATCTTGACACCACTGGTACCAGTCATCGGCAAGTCCAATCAACTCCACATCAGCCCATCTCTTCTCTTGCCCATGCGGAACATGTTTATCCCCCTCTATCTGGCCAAACAGAAACTGCATGGGCTTCGCTTACCGAAGAATGGAGTAACTCACTAATGGGGGAGCATCAATCTCTTTCCAGGATCTGTGAACTCCTCACACAATCCAGTCTGGTTAAACCCAGGATGGATCACAGGCAGGCAAGCCTAAATGTTTCAAACCAGCGCAGATGTTCCTGTAGAGGACTCCGCGTTTCGCAAGCATAGAGAAGGGAGGGCATAACTTTGGCCGAGAAGATCTAAACCTTTTGTGTGGAGCAACAGACCAGGTAGCTTTCACACAGCGTTCCGCAACTGATGAAAAGATAATGCCGCTCGACTGATTCAGAGTGAGACCTCGGCTGCCAAACCAGAGCTGGTCAATAAACACACTAGCCAAGGAAGGAAACTTGTCCACTCTCTCCACAACTTCCCCATCATGCACACACACTCATGCACTCATACAGCCACACAAGATACACATTCGTACAAGCAAACATAAACAGACATAAATACACAAACAGCATAACATGCATATATTACACGCAACACATACACACATTCATATGCGTGCCCACACACGCACTCGGATTCATGCAAGTGCACACGTGCTTGAGTATTATAATAATCATGATTTATAATTATAATCAGCTGCAGCGACATCACAAACACTTTTACTGCAATCTTCTCCTTTGTTTTCATCATCACCACCATCACTATCATCCCAGTAAACATTACCACATTTTGGCAAGTCAAGTGTTCATGTTAAGAAGAAACCAGCCCCCACCATGAGAATGTGGCTTTTCCAACAATGGCTCAGGGGCATCGATGGAGATGAGTGACACGGGCTCAACCCATCCTGAACGACATTGTTCACTGCTTTGTATGCCTGCCTCACCAACAGTGCAACAAAGACATCGATCCCCTGAATAGCCTGAACAGATTGTTGGGACAAGCACTGTTAGCGAGCACCTATGAAGGCCGGCACAGTACACGAGGGGGTGGTTGGTCAACACCACGCACGACTACCTTTGTCTCCCTTAGTGACGATGTTTACACACCACACCAGGTACTGATTTAAGGTTAAGTTGACCTAGGGGAGGCCCAGGACTGGTTCAGACAATTGTCACTGGTGTTGGCCGTTAGCGGGAATCGAACTCGTGTCACCAGGTTAGTAGTGCAGTGGCTAACTGCTATACTACCGCTCCCCACACAAACACGCATGCGTGTGGCTTTGTCTTTGTTGCGCACAAATCAAAGTCTAATTTGTGGGCTCCGTCCATGGGCAGGCATCGTGTCATAATGTCATGATGCCATGGCAGATTCCCCTCGCCCGAGGCCTAAATCTAAGAACGGGATTCTACGGCATTGATTCCGCAGAATTCCGAACGATAGGTCAGTCTCTGGTGGGGTCTCGAGCTTCGAGAATACACCAATAGACAAGCTGGTGATGGGATCTTTAAGGCAATAGACTACCAGGCCGGTAAGAGACTGCAAGAGCAAATGCACATCTCGTGTTGAATGGCGACAGCTGCCATGGACGGGACCAACTCACAGGGTGACGCCTGACGACCAGATGTCCACCTTGAAGCCGGAGAACGTCTCCAGGCCATTGGCAATTTCTGGGGGCTGGAAGGCGGGTGAGCCCTGGCTCGTCCTGCACGTGTCGTCCAGCGCAAACACGTCCAGTGCCTGTGTGCATACATACATAGAACGTACGTTCATCCAATTATTAGTTGACCGACTCACCCATTCACTTAGCCACCAACTAATTTGCTTACTCACCCGCTCACCCACCCAGCAGACCCACCGTCAACCCACCCTGCCTGCTCATCCACTCACCCACTCACCCACTCACCCCACCGACACGACTGCCCGCTCAGCTACTCTTATCGCTCACTCACACGCCCAACACCCCACTTGCCCGGCCGCCTGTCCACAAGCACACCTGCCCACCCCCGACTCGCTCAAGAGCACACCCATGCATACACTCACTTGCGCGATTAAACCATATTCCTAGGTTAGCCAATTGATGGTCTAAGCCTAGCAATGCATGCAAGAAAGACCTAATATCATTCATTAATTATCAAAATCCAGTTCACAATCATCGTGTTTCCAAACTCAAACGATCCTTAGAGTAGCATTTATTTATGTTGGTATTCCTGAGCCTGAGGTGTAAATTTCACATTCCCATCACTGAGAACAGTCTTTCCGTAGAACAAGCAGTAGTAACTTCCCAGAAAGCGGTACTCAGTTTATTGACATGAGGGTATATCTGGCTATATCTGCTGAGTGGCAGATATACCCAGACATGACAAAGTTCAAATCCTGCTGGATGGTCAGCTTGGCACGTCATCCCTCCAGGATCAACACAAAAAGTATTGTGGGATGTCACCTGTTGTCTTGCAATCAATAAACTGATCCCCATTATGGGTTTTTTACAGGAAGTCAGAATAAAATACAGGATATTGTCCTGTTTGACATAGTTTCAATTGCAATGTCGTATCTCATTTTACATTTTGTGAGCACTGTTAAACTCGGTCGCTTAGTTAATTTTAACAATTAGCAATTCCAGTGAGTTATTTCTCTCACCGGCTACCCATGAACCTCAATTTTTTAGCCACAGCTAAAATAAAAATGTTTTACGGACTTAAAGAGTCTTCAGACAAGCAACAAACTGTATGTAACATACCTTTCTTGCCGCCTCTATAATTGGCACATTAAACTCTTGCACACACGACAATTTTATAGGCTTGGCAGTGTCGGGTGACAGACGGTCTTAATGACACAAATTTGGCAAGACCATTACGTGGCCTAAGCAAAAAAAAAATCTATATTATGAATCGGTGATTTAAAAGTGGGCACAGTGGCGATCTTGCCATTTACTGCGCCACTACGCCAGACTGCACCTCACACTGTGCCGAGTGCGGTCATGCGAGAGGTCACGGGTGCGCACCTCTGCAACACCCAGGTCGGAGATCTTGAGGGTCCCCTCCGTGGTGAGCAGCAGGTTCCCAGGCTTGATGTCTTTGTGGACAATGCCCTGGCTGTGGAGATACTCCAGGCCGTCCACCAGCTGACTAAAATACCTGCCACCAAAACACAGAGACGAGGTGAAGATCCCCTTCTTCTAGCCGTAGAGGGTTGTAGGTACTGTTGGCAAGCAACTAGTAGGCTCGCATCGCAGAATGACCCACGACGGTAACACATAGGCACCTCAATAGATGTCCCACATCTCTAACCAAACCACAATGCGGTTTCATTTATGCTGTGTACAGAGTGGTTTTCATGTCTATCATCTGATATAATCATGTGGACAAGATTCCTCTCTTAGCCAATACCGAGGGTCGGCACCCTGCGGCTCCGGAGCCGCATGTGGCTCTGTACGGACTGATTCATGACGTAATGTATATATGCATTCACATGCATTGCGGCTCTTGAAAATATTGAGTTTTGTACAGAATTCGAAAAAAATGGCTCATTGTTATTTTGGTTGCTGACCCCTGGCTTATAAAAACTGTAAGATGTATATTCCATAAGTGAGCACGAATTACGACTGGAACACACGAAGGAGTGGTGTGGGCAGTTGCCACACATATACACCCAGGAATGATGACAGCCATAGAGATGTAGCTGGTAACCATATCAGGCTGAGTGGATCTTAGGATCTGAATGAAATAGAACCCATGTTGTCAGGATGGCAGCCAAGTACAACAGCTATGCCACTAACACGTACATTCTGCCAAACACATGATCCACGTGCATGGCACCACAAATAAGGCTAAATACGTTTTATAAATATATGAATATCCCAAGCTAACCTGTGGTCCAAAGACATGCAAATATCAGAAGACAGATTAAACTAAATTCATCACAGCAGGCTAATTTTTGCCCCCTATTTGTTACGCATATGAAAATAATAACTAGAATATAAATTTTGCCTGGAGGAATCTAATGAGCTATAAAGTTATTTTTCACAGACGTCCATTCGGGGTGGGTAAGAACATAACAACAAACAGCATAACAACATGACAGTAGTGCAAAGAACAAGAAATGTAAAAAAATCACCCAAACACATACAAATAAAACTAAACCATCCCCATCCTACCAGCAAAAGTTCACCGAGGTATTAACTTATTTAATAGTTTGCTTCTCAAACGATGCGGTCACTTGAGAAAACATTACCAGAGGTGGCTGGATGGCTGAGGTGGCTGCTGTCCAGATTTAAGGATGCGTTGTGGGTCGTTAAATGAATAAACACCCATGAATTGGTTTAAAACATATTAATATAAAAAGACTGCAGATCTTGGGGAATTGTTGGCACCGGCCGACAATCTGGCTGCCTCCTAGATGATCCATGGTCCCTCAGCGATTGAGAGATGCAATTTCCATATACGACGCTTGGTAAAACTCAACATCAAAACAAACTTAACATTCAATCACTGCATATGCAGTGATTGCATGTTGAATCACTGATGGATTGGTCTCATGCAAAAGACAGCTGTGCTACCGCCATTATGAAACCTTTGAACCACTCAACCCCCCCCCCCCCCCCCCACCAGTGTGAATGGGCGGCAAGGACAGGGCTTACTGTTCAACTTTAAAAATCCATGGGCTTACCCGTGAGCCTGGAAGATGGGAAACTTCTTTCCGGTAACGCTGTCCAGCATTTCTTGCATGCCGCACACGCAGTACTCCATGACCATATACGTGCACGAGCCGTCAAGGGAGCAATGCAATCCGGAATCCAGTCGCCGCGCCTTTACAGGTTACAGAGTCGAGCATCGGAGCGGCGCCCCAGGGGCCAGCAATGAATAGGAAGAAAGACGGTGGGACACTGCAAGATCAAGACTTGGTAGGGCAGCTACAGGATCTACCATGAAAAATAAACGCTCTCTAAGCATATTTATAATCGTTCAACTCTTTTAACGTAGGCGATATTGAATGTGTAGTAAATGCATACATGTTCCGTGGACAAAGGAGTTTGCTAACTCTTTAAGAATAAAGAAGTCCAGTGGTTTTCATAACAGGCATTAAAAAACTAAAGCGATGGCAATGTATGACTGTGTAAGTAGCATTTTGTGATGACTTGATTCTACAATCTAAAGTAGGGTGGTTGTGGTGCTTTCACTTCCTGAATGTAAAACTTTAAGGGGAACCAGCTGTGACCAAGATTGTAGCGGAGGGAAAGTTGGTAATGCCCACGCATCGCTGCTCCTGATAGGATAGGAAGGAGCCAGTGGCAAGAGACAGGGAGGATAGGAGGGAGCAGTGACAGGAGACAGGGTGGATGGGAGGGAGGCAGTATTTTGAAGGGCACAGCTACTTAGGGGCAGGAAACGGAGGTTGGATTAACTTAACATAAAGACCTTTTCCTCAATTCCCTTTGTAGTGACATGAATAGAACGTCCCCTGTTATCATCCTTTAAACCCTTATTACAATGAACCTCTCAACAGCCAGAATACAATCAACAATAATACTACATCTCCTCCTGGAAATAGACAATTGTGAGCACTTTCAGAATAATAATCTATGTTTCAGAGGAGACCTCAAATAAATAATTAAAATAGGACACGTTTCAAGATTTAGTTTGGATAAATTATGGGATCAAATGGCCTATATTTGAAAAATGTATCAAGATCTTGTCCACTTTACAAGCAGTGTGTTACTTTGGTAATTTCTTGTAGCACTTATTAGTTTGTTGATTGCGACAGAAACCAAACTCTCGCAAACAATTTCAGTGGCCAGAGCACTGACCGCTGGTGCGCTCTTCTCCACCCAAGCTGAATGCAGTTCTACACTATTCCTGTTTTTAGAGGAGGCAACCCAAACGACTGTTATCTCATGGATAGGTACACTGGCTCCACTTAAGTGTACGTATGCCAGGCTGTCCAACACCGATTTCAACCTTTATCAGTGAGAAAAGCAACATTTAAATTGACAGTCACAAGTCCTTTTCACGCTGTCACCGCCATTCGTTTGAGCAAGTCACTGCAGCGTCATCGTTGTCGGCAGTTCCTCAGGGTTTGAGGATGACGTCCATCAGGTTTGGCGGTGGCTGAGGAGTCCAATCCTGGATCCGCAAATCTTTGGGCATTGTGGGCACCACGCGGTCCCATGTGGAAGTGGGATCCGCAGTGCCGGATTGGCTGCAGTGACATCGCTATGACAATATGACGGCATGCCTAACCTTGCCTTTAAATACTTTTTTTTCTCATTTAGCAAAGCTTCAAACTTATGTCGACGCGCCCAGGACACACAGGCTATACGTGAGTGTGCGTAGGCTGAGAAGACCGCTTCGCTCTTTGTTCTGTTATGGCCTACATTAAACCGTGCCTCTCACACAAAAACAGCCGGCTAGGGACATCTCGAGTCAGGATGGTGAGCAAGTGTTGGCACGCTTCATGAATAAAATATTGAAATGTTGCATCACTTATTGGTATCATTGAGACAGTGATGGGAATTCCACATCTCTATATCCAGGACCAGTCAAGTGCTCTGCCAAAGCGGCACATGCATAATATTAAAGCAAAACGTGTATTTACATTCATGTAAAGCCTGTTAAATACTGATATGCACAAAATTATTTAAAGTGTTTTTTTAATAATGTTTGTATGGAACTTACACGTAAATTCTAATGCAAAATGAACACATTTTAATGCATGAACAAGTCTAAACAATACTCGGTTTTGGTCCTGACGTGAAACCTGGTTTTCCCATATTAACTTCCTGGGTGCCTGGCATGGGGGATGGTGATGCTGCTGCATTGGCAGTGGTGCACAAGCACACATAACAGCAACTAAAACTGGCAGTAATCAATAACACTGCACTAAAAAGAAGTATATGAAAGGCAATGTTTCAGAAAATGGCCCTTCCTCACAGCACGCATTAAACAATATATTAAACAGACGACGAGCACGGGGAACGATGAAAGGACATTGCGAGTACAACCTTGCAAGTGGTGTTTGTGAAGGGGGAAAAACCACACGCAATGCACGGCTAAAAATGGACACCGGGCGCAAGGTGAGGGGAGAGCGCGAAGGGATCGCGGTTGTGAGAAACTGTACGTCAGTCTCAGCCCTTTGCGCATGCTGCGGAGACACCCCAGGCCATGCTCCCTTCTTTGGCAGCACACTTTTGCTGAAATTAACATGGACGTTCGTTCAAAATGATCAGAAACACTGGGGAGATCAAGACGTATTTTAGAAATTATACGTGAATAAAATCATCAAATGCATCAATTATTTTGCAATTAAAAATCCAGAAATCTCACGATGTGGTAGGGAATGGCTATGAAATATAAAACCATAGCCCTAGTGAGTAGCATACCTTCATGCTCTGAACCGTCATATCAGTCATCTCATACGGTGAAGTGAACCAACAAGAAAAAGTGTTCATACTGCGTTGGCAGTGCTACATAAGCACAAAATAACTAAGACTAGGCACATTCATCAATAACATTCTTCTGATGTTCTTGGTTCTTTCGGTAAAGTCACGTATGTTTTATTTTTATTATTTTATTATTTTCCTTCTACATGACTTTACCGAAAGAACCAAGAAGATTAATCCCTGCAGTCACGAAAGCTTTCAATCGAAATTCTTCTGATGATTGGATAATGGCCCTTCTTCGTAGCAGAGATACCATAGCCTATCTCTGCTATCAAGGGGGTCCGGTGCCATAGACGTCAATTAATATATTTATATATTATATACAACAATATGTCCTTTTACGGCATTGCTATTGACGAGCGTGTTGATATAGTGAAGTTGACTGCTGGGCTATTGTGAACTACATGGGCGTCTATTGTCCTTTATCCATCCAATGCTGCACGAGGGGCTGTGCATGCGGTGTGGATCGTGGAAGATATTTGGCCATGCTGTACTTCAGCACGGCGGTCATGTATGTATGTTTGTTGAACTTCTTTCGCACGGTACATAGCCAACCATGCTAATCGGAGGTGGTCAGTGTGGGTTGCAGAAAGTGGGAAGCACAGACATGGGGAACGTAGTATAGAACGGCAAGACCTCACTTAACGCGTGTTCACATGAAGCATGTTCACTTGCATGCAGTTCCTCTACCAGGGAAGACTTTTCGCACAATGCAGACTGCGCACTGTTGTAATGCAGCGTCTGTCTGAGCGGTCGACAACCAGAGTACGCATACCCTCATCCCAGTTCTTATGCCTGCCATGGGATGACTGCAGGCTGTTTTTATAGAGCAACTTAGATTCAAATCTGCATTGTTTTTATTTATGCCCTGTCACGAATACATACAAGTAATTCCCCGTTTAATGCATTTCCTTTACTGCGCCACTTTTTAGATACACGTCTACCGTGTTAAACGAGGAATGACTGTACAAACGATGTTTGTGAACTGCCCTCTGATGCCAAGAGCAAGGTCCGACAGAAGCCTACACAACAGGAGTTTATTATGAATGACGGTGTCTCATCAAACACAATCCGGGCTCAAGCCTACTTAACATTCTGGGTGATTTGGTCATAAGCAATGTGAATTATAAAAAAAAAGAAATCACGCGGCTTTATTCGGTAACTAATTTAGACATCTATTCATATCCCAATTTAAATACTGGTCAACAGAAAATATTTTTTAATGTAATTTTTATCAAGCCTCATGGTGTAAACTGCAGTCGAACTCTTATTATCCACTCACTATCTGGTCTGGCCTACGTGCAACGAAGAAGGGCCGTTGCCCGAAACGGTCGCATATTGAAGATTTTATTTCCTTTTAGGGCCACTCACTGTTATTGACGAATGTGTTGAGTGTTTTTAATTGTCGTTGTGCACCACTGCCAATGAAGCAGCATGACCGTATAATTTATTTAATTTATATGGTGGTTATTTTATCAGCTGGATGACAACAACTGTTGTTGAAGATGTTGACTTAAAAATGAGAAGGTTGAAGCCAAAATTCCATCTGGGAGGAATGCAGAACATATATTATCCGCTGGGTTGCCAATTAAATGAGGGACACTTCATGCGAAGCCAAACAATGGTCATTGTCTGGGAAGAGTGAACCCTGCAAAAGAGAATGTAGACTTGACCCCAATGGCCCAGGGGGCAACAGTGCAGGTGAGTGCCACCATAACCACGCATCTGTGCAGGCAAACATTGAACTTAAGATTGCGCAATAGCCGCCTGTGAATGTTACATGGGTCTCACAAGCCACACAAGCTGGCGTTAGTAGTCAGTGGTGCATCGAGACAATGAAACTCGCTCAAAGAGAACTCGTTGAACGCCTGCGCACTCGACAATTTATGTCAGGTGGTAGAGGGTTCTTCAAGACACAAATTTGGCCAGATCATCACGTGGCAAAACTCAAAATGTATTTAGGAATCGTAAAAAATTGGCTGCTAAAACTTACGTGTTAAGTTAACCTCAAGAGGGTAAAAACTAACATTCAAAAACCCAGAATCACCAAGGTCTTCAGACATGGCCATTATGAAGCTCCAGACAAATTTGGACAGATCAAAGCCCCAAGAGCCGTGCAGCCACAACAGCGGTGCACAGTGCAGCAGTCCATGGACAAAGTTGTGCTGAGATTGTGTTATTAATAACAGCGTGATAGAGTTGCGTTTGATAAATCTACCCCCGCCTATATGCCGAGCCATCTCAGAGCACTTTGCACGCGACAAGTGACTTGCAAAACATCTCTTCAACACGTTTAAAAGGCCACCCCCAGTGGCAGCTGCCCGTGTGTGGCACAAGGTGGTTCAGAGCCTAGCCTGCAAGGCAGGCGTAAGTCTGCCAGTCGGGAGCGATGATTGCTGCCGAGTGTAATCCCAAACGAGTCATTTGCAGGAAAAATTTCGAATTTGTATTATTTGGACCGGGACACAATGGCCTTCTCATTACGATTGATGTTGCGGGATCTTTAAAGTCCACTTTGAGGTAGACGGCGCATCGTAGCAGAAGTAGTATTTCATGGTCAACAGTCTGTTCTCCTACAACTCAGTATTTGCATTCCTGAAGAACACCGCATTTTGCAAGAAATCGTGTTATAATAAATCAATAATATAGGGTAAATTCCGCGATAACACGTGAGAAGAATACACAGGCTGAACAAAGACTGAGGCGCCTAGATAACATTTCAAAGCATCCAGCAGCATCCTAGTGCCTTGTGTGATACGCCGAGGCTGCCGTACAGCTGCTTATTCCTACTGACGCGACATAGTTCCATTCACTCGATCGCGTTAAAAAAACTATGTTCCCTAATATATTCATCACATTACACATCCAATTCGAGTTATGAAAACTACGCGTTATAGTGGAACTGACTGTACACACCAACATAGTAATAATCAGGGCAGCCTGCCTCATGGGCCCGCTGGTCCACGCTATCTTCTGGGGAATGACACTGGGGCATGAATCGTGAAGTCATGACGCCGTAGCGATAGCGCGTGCCGCTCGGGCCGGCGAGAGAAAGGATATATCTTTTGTTTCTCTTCGTTGTAGAGGACGTCAACGAGCGAGATGACGTTTTTATGCTTCAACCTCTTGAGTAGCTGAATCTCCCTAGAAGGAAACAAACAAACGCACAACAGAGTTAATTATATCACGTAAAAAAAACAGGGAATCATGCCCGATGATTGTGGCTGTGCACCACCGTCAACGCAGCATCATCAAACAATTTGTTGAGTTGACCAACATTTTAAACAACCTGTTGCCGAATAAACAACACCGTCAATAAGTCAAATGTGTGTCCATGCTCAAATAAATCTGGTGACCCTAAAAAAGAGGTAAACACTCCACATTGCCATGACAGGGGTCAGTCATTACATACAAACAACCAGCTATGAGGTCCAACAACATGCATTCAACACGCATTCAACACGCATTCAACACGCATCCTTAGAGTTGAACATCAAATGCCACAGGCTCAGAGGCAGACTAAGGCACCTTTGGGACTCTCAGTACTCAATGTTAATGGTAATAGAATCACACAAAGGCCCCTTTAGAATTCTTAGAGTTCAGGGTTCAATTGCTCGTCAAGCGCTCAGATCACAGAACCAGCCCTCAGCATAAACGAGGATAAATTATCATGTAATCAAGTGGTGCAATTATTCTTCATTCATCTCATGCTGTAACGGATTTATTTAAGAATTATTATAATGTGAGTTTATTAAAATACAGCCATAGAAAGTAATGAATACTAGCGTAAGGATATTAAGGCTGCAATGCCTGTTTTGCATATGCATGTCATTAAAGTTGAATAACAGTTCGTAGGGACCTCACTTGAATGTCTTCATTAATTCTGCAGTTTTATTACCCACAGAAATAGAGGAAAAAATAACAGCAGGCAACAATCCAGCACCTACGCCGCTCACTGGAAGGTAGAGCTAATCTGCCCTCTACCGACTGCAGGAACATAGTGTGTGGTCGAATATCCGTGCAGTGTTATCCATGCAGTGAATATCCATGCAATATCCATGCAGTTTTTCAACGGTCCCCAACCTGGGGGGGGGGGGGGGGGGGGGTACGCGTGACGTCTCTAGGGGAAAGAGAAACCATTCACGCAATGCCGGCAGTCACGTGGGTATAGCCACGTGGGTTACGCTGAGCAGCCGCAAAGCTACTCAAAATACATCGAAGAAAGAAGACGGCAAAATCTCCAGCCAAAACTATTTTCACGTGGTGATTAAGCTGTGCAAGGCAGGAGGAAGTGTCTGTATATACTCGAGCAATTTAAAAACTATACACTAATCTGTTGTATTCAATTTGATAAATCCATGCGATTTCAAAGCTCATTTTTAATTAAACAGTGGAAGTACTAAGCGTTCTAAAGTATTATTATTAGGAGACAACCTATCCAAAGTGATATGATTTTTTTTGCAATCATTGGTGGCGATACCAACAACTTACAGCACTTGTGAAGCCAGTTTAAATAAGGGTCACTACCCAGATTCGGATTCGGGATCTCAACGATGTCCGCTTAGTTCTCTGATCTCAAAGACACCTGGCAACTTTTAATTTCAACAATGTTAATTAATTTGCCTTTTAAAACAACCCTCAACAAATTACATGCCACATGTGGTAATGGCACCAAACGTGGGGAGGGGGGGGGGCAGGGAGAATCTGGTTCAGTGCTTGACGATGAAAAGAGTCACAGTTGTGGTTACCAAACACCATTCTGCATCTTGGTGATGCAGAACGTGGCAGTGACATTGTCTGGAGGCTGCACGTCCGTACGCTTGTTTTAAAGGTTCGAGGTCCAATCCAGCAGGCGACCCTGGTTATTACTGCAGATGTATTAACCTGCTGCTGAGTGGAACGTTAAAGATCCACCCCGCCCCCCTGCCGATGCCTTTCAAAGCGAGAGGGACATCGAGTGCCTGCGTCATCGTCAACATTTGCCACATTACAAAATGACCAGCAAGTTACTTGATTGAAATTACACGTAATTCCGTCGGCCCAGACTGGCAGACTAATGCCCGCTTGCAGGTCGGGTGCTGAGGCACCCTGTGCCACACAGGAAGAGCTGCCACTAGTGGTGCCCTTTTAAACGTATTGAAGAGATGTTTTGCAAGTCACTTGTCGCGTGCAAAGTGCTCTGAGATGGCTCGGCATATAGGCGGGGGTAGATTTATCAAAAGCAACTCTATCACGCTGTTATTAATAACACAATCTCAGCACAACTTTGTCCATGGACTGCTGGGCTGTAAGCGGCTCAGCGCCTGTAATGCGCTGGGAAATGCTCTGCAGTTAAGGGCGCGAACTCCAAAACAATATTATTATTGCTTTCCTGCCAGCCGTTTGCTGAAAGATGGGGAGAGGTTATATATTTCAAAAATTTTAATCATGCCTGGATGTGAAATTTCGTGATCCAAATTTAGTTTATTTCGGATTTTATGTATGTTGAACTTCTTTCACACCGTATATAACCAACCGTGCTAATCGGAGGTGCGGGAAATGACGTACATTTCGTCACTTCCGTGATTTTCTCGCAAAATTAGTGCCCCATTGTATGAGGGAATGTCCCTGTCGTTTGCACGAACACAAGCTAAATTATTTACATATTGTGAAATATCAAAACATTTGAAAACAATTTCAAATTTGTCCTTTGAAATCCGAAAGCTGAATTTGCCTTATTTGAAGCTCATTCCTATGAACAGTAATATCTGGCTGTTTGCGGTCTTACCATCTTGTTTGTCAGCTCTGTGAACAGATCAAACGGGGACGCTGATTGCATCTGAATAACAGAACCAGCCTGCACTGGCTGCCCCTTGTTGTAGCTGCACCCGTCGTGTGATGTAGCCACACGTTCTGCATAACACCGATTCTGTTTCCCTGGCATGCAGTACAGCAACACACATCCTAGGTCTGAATGTCATAATTTTGTAGTTAACTTATATTAAACTACACTATACACTGTTTTTTTTATTTTACCAGGTAAGGGTCACTGAGCTATATAGCTCTTTTACAGAAGCGACCTGGCCACAAATGATAGGTCAATGGAGTGGCTTATCAAGTGGAAATATATAGCGGAAGCCAAATACTCAAAGCGCATGTTTCTACATGTGGAGAGAAAAACTGGAGGACCCGGAGAAAAATCCACGTGACTCCAAATATCCAGGGAGCCAGGGTCAGGATCCAACCCACGACTTTCTGTATACTAGGCGAGGTAGCTACCCTCTCACCACCGTGACACCCCGCTGTATATTGTATATTGCTCCCCAGCCTTTCTGATGAGCTCCATATGGACCGAATCCTAACAACCGAAGATGTTTCACATGGTTACAATGTACTGTCTCAAGAATTAATACAAGTTTTTGAAACAATCTTCATTCTCTATTATATGGGTCTATTCTCTGTGATTAACTTTTCCAAAATCGCACCTTGAAGCCATTCTCTCTAAAGCTGATTTTAATAAAAAAACATTATCTGTTATGAATACAAGTGAATGCAACAGCGTTTAAGTTTTATAACCATGTTTGAACATTTAACGAATTTTATACCTAGTTTAACACTCGATTCTAAAATCAATTTACTTTGAATGCAAAACGCTATTTCACCTGAGTTACACTGAACACTCATCCACCTACGAATGTGTATAATTTATTATTATTCCTGTTTACCCAGCAAAGCCTCACGGCGGCTGAAGACTTTTTGCCAGGAGGGTCCTTTCAAGTTTTCACAGTAGGAGGCAATATTGCTGATCCCAATTTAGTAATTTGCAGATAACTTTTCCACATTAGGATGTTTGGCCAATACCAGTTACATCACTAAATCGACTTCTCTAATCGATCAGACCAAGCAGAGCTCCCTAAAATCCACAAAGTAGGTACCCCGCTCCGTCCTATCGTCTCCACCATTAACTCACCCACCTACAAACTGGTCCGATTTCTGTATGAGACCCTGCTTCCTTTCACGGGAAAGTCAAACTCAGCTGTACTTAACTCAGCTCACTTGGTTTCTCTAATCAAGGACATCTCACTGTCTCTGAATGATTTGCTTGTCAGTTTCGATGTAGTCTCTCTGTTCACCAATGTACCTGTACTTGACACCATTGCAATCATTTGAAGACTTGGTCCAACAAGGACTGAATCCAGATGTAGCAACTTTGGTAAGGCACTGTCTTACCAACACATACTTCACCTGGAATGGTACATTCTACAATCAAAATGAGGGTACCCCAATGGGTTCTCCTTCATCGCCAGTGGTAGCGAAAGTTTTCATGGAGAAATTTGAGACAGATGCCATCCAGACATCCACCCTACGTCCTTCCTTGTGGAAGAGATACGTAGATGACACGTTCGTCATCTGGCCACATGGCCTGCCAGCACTGAACCAATTTCTCAACCACATCAATTCCATACACCCGTCTATCAAATTCACCATGGAAGTGGAAAAGGATGGCAAGCTTCCATTCCTGGATGTTTTTATCGAGAAGAGACCTGATGGCTCGTTGGGACATTCGGTCTACAGGAAAGCCACCCACACGGATGCCTATCTAAAGCCTGACTCCCACCACCATCCAGCCCAGAATAATTCCCTCATCAAAACATTACACCGTTGCATCTCCGACCAGCACCACCTAGCTAGTGAGTTGGAGCACGTACACCAAGCCCTCAGGATGAACGGATACTCGGACCGTACAATCCGCAAAGCTGCCTCCCCAGCCATGGGGAGACAACCTTCTTCTAAGGATCCAACCAAAACCATCACTTTTCCATACATAGCAGGGGTTACCAAAAATATTTCCAAAATCTTCAACAAACACAAGATCCAGGTTCGTTTCAACACAGTACACAAAATCCGTGATTTAATCCCATTCGTAAAGGATGTGATTCCTGACATGCAATACCCTGGTGTCTACAAACTAAGTTGTGGCTGCGGCAGCAATTACATTGGAGAAACGAAACGACATGTCTCGGACCGCGTTCGTGAACACAAGGCGGATCTGAAACACAGTAGGACAAATACCTCTGCCATTGCCGATCATTGTTTTAATGCTGTGGGCTCACACGGAGGTACTCTGCAAACCTACCGGCTACCTTCAGAGATTTGTTCATGAA